CCCCCCCCCCCCCCCCCCCAGGGGCTTGTACTTGGAAAATTACTCTCAAATACAAAGTAAAACAAAGCAAAAACGGGAAATTTACTTCCAACTATAAGGTTAGGGGGGGTGGAGGGGGAAGGCTTGACCCAACCCCAGATCCAGACTAGTGACATATTTCGACGCCCCCCCCCCTTGCCCTTTAAGAGGGCCTCTATCATTTAAAAAAATGGTAACCCATTTTTATAAATGCACCAAATTCTTTTGCAATTTAGTGACTCACCCAGCCACTCACACGTCATCCATCACCTTATGTCATTCGTAGATGGAGAGTTTCAGTCACTTTTATGGTGCAAAATTGTACCATTGTGCTAGCCTACAAGCAGGCTCACTTGTGCAAGTTCAGGGAAAATTTTTGGTGGTAGAGCTCCATCTTGAGAATGGGCTAAGGCTCATTCTCCTCACAGGATGGCAGCTCTAACGCCAAAAATTTTCCCTAAACTCACACAAGTGAGCCTACTCGCAGGCTACCAATTGCACCATCACTAATAACCACCAAAGTTATAAGGAGTATGTGAGGTGCAGCTCAAAGAATGATTGGTAACATATTTAAATGTCATAAAAACAGCACTGATTGCAGTGGTGGGAAGTTTTTGTTTAACAGAAATATTAGCTAAAAATTAAGCAAGTCTTAACGGAGATCTACATTTATTTGGAAGGAACTTAAATCCAAAGCAGACCTCTCAAGTCTAACGGTTTTGAGGACACTCTCACAGTCTGACAATGAGGCACAAAAATTTCATGGCAAACAGATTCACAAGCCAATGGAATACACTTTCCTTGACTATTTTCATTTTTGCCTTGTAAAATCTACAGTTCTAAGGCATATTTGTCATATTTATGATCACCTTGTTGAAAAGATACGGACCTCAAAACCATATGTAGAAAACTATAATCCAAATAAGGCTATTGTCAAATCTAGATACATTTCGTCCCATTGTCAAAATGGCGGAAAACGATGAATATTCATTGGGCAAAGATAAAGTTCAAAACAGAATGGGAAGGTTCATATCCGGTTAAAGGTATTCTTAGCAATCCATGTTTGTTTTTATGTGTTCCCTACACCTGCTTTTAGTTCTTTTTTATGCCATCGATAAATCTCCAGGTTTTTTTAACCTTGATCTCCAGGTTATTAGTCTTTTGGGGTTGAGAGGTCTGCTAAAGGCACTTACTTTGAATCATATTAATTCATTTGTTTCATTTTTATTGGAATGATAGGTACTGGTAAAAAATCATTTCGCTGGTTTAAATTTTATTGACATTGCTGTGAGGAAGGGAATCATGAAAATGGTAGCATTAGGTGGAATTATGGGATTTGAAGGAGCTGGAACAGTGGAAAAACTTGGAGCTGAAGTCCAAGACCTCTCTCTCGGAGACAGAGTTGCTTTTGCTTTTGTTGGCTCAAGTGAGTTGTTTTTGTTATAATAANCCCCCCCCCCCCCAGGGGCTTGTACTTGGAAAATTACTCTCAAATACAAAGTAAAACAAAGCAAAAACGGGAAATTTACTTCCAACTATAAGGTTAGGGGGGGTGGAGGGGGAAGGCTTGACCCAACCCCAGATCCAGACTAGTGACATATTTCGACGCCCCCCCCCCTTGCCCTTTAAGAGGGCCTCTATCATTTAAAAAAATGGTAACCCATTTTTATAAATGCACCAAATTCTTTTGCAATTTAGTGACTCACCCAGCCACTCACACGTCATCCATCACCTTATGTCATTCGTAGATGGAGAGTTTCAGTCACTTTTATGGTGCAAAATTGTACCATTGTGCTAGCCTACAAGCAGGCTCACTTGTGCAAGTTCAGGGAAAATTTTTGGTGGTAGAGCTCCATCTTGAGAATGGGCTAAGGCTCATTCTCCTCACAGGATGGCAGCTCTAACGCCAAAAATTTTCCCTAAACTCACACAAGTGAGCCTACTCGCAGGCTACCAATTGCACCATCACTAATAACCACCAAAGTTATAAGGAGTATGTGAGGTGCAGCTCAAAGAATGATTGGTAACATATTTAAATGTCATAAAAACAGCACTGATTGCAGTGGTGGGAAGTTTTTGTTTAACAGAAATATTAGCTAAAAATTAAGCAAGTCTTAACGGAGATCTACATTTATTTGGAAGGAACTTAAATCCAAAGCAGACCTCTCAAGTCTCACGGTTTTGAGGACACTCTCACAGTCTGACAATGAGGCACAAAAATTTCATGGCAAACAGATTCACAAGCCAATGGAATACACTTTCCTTGACTATTTTCATTTTTGCCTAGTAAAATCCACAGTTCTAAGGCATATTTGTCATATTTATGATCACCTTGTTGAAAAGATACGGACCTCAAAACCATATGTAGAAAACTATAATCCAAATAAGGCTATTGTCAAATCTAGATACATTTCGTCCCATTGTCAAAATGGCGGAAAACGATGAATATTCATTGGGCAAAGATAAAGTTCAAAACAGAATGGGAAGGTTCATATCCGGTTAAAGGTATTCTTAGCAATCCATGTTTGTTTTTATGTGTTCCCTACACCTGCTTTTAGTTCTTTTTTATGCCATCGATAAATCTCCAGGTTTTTTTAACCTTGATCTCCAGGTTATTAGTCTTTTAGGGTTGAGAGGTCTGCTAAAGGCACTTACTTTGAATCATATTAATTCATTTGTTTCATTTTTATTGGAATGATAGGTACTGGTAAAAAATCATTTCGCTGGTTTAAATTTTATTGACATTGCTGTGAGGAAGGGAATCATGAAAATGGTAGCATTAGGTGGAATTATGGGATTTGAAGGAGCTGGAACAGTGGAAAAACTTGGAGCTGAAGTCCAAGACCTCTCTCTCGGAGACAGAGTTGCTTTTGCTTTTGTTGGCTCAAGTGAGTTGTTTTTGTTATAATAATATTACTTTTAGACACGCATTGCTAAAACGAGGGTAAGGGTAACACCAAGGGTAAGGGTGCGGGTGAGGGTCTGTTAAGAAGGCTTATTGTCATTAATTCCCTGTCATTAAGCATCATCTGGCATATTATTGGAAAACGATGCTCTTTAAAATGAAAGGCTGGTCCAGAGCTGATCTAATTTTAAGGTTTGGCTAGCTTTCGCGTTTCTGTTGCAGTTAAGTATTTCCAACAACGTGACTGCAAATTAATTTTTTGCTCTTGAAAGGCTTGAATAAAGGCACGGATTAATAGTCTTCGATCGTTATCTGTGCACTAAGGCACTGTTTATATGGGGATGTGGGACCCTGGGTTGGCGAGGTGATCCACAAAAGGGTTAAAATGCAAACCACCTTTTCATGCAATCGTAGCTAACATCCACAATCCCTCATGTTACAAAAAATATGCTGACAATCTTTCAGATAGGTTACATTTGGAGACGAGCAAACTGTACATCTAACACTTTCCCTTAAAAAAGGCAATTGTATGGTCTTCAAACCGCGCCAAGTCCAAGACGTACGAATTGTAAAATTCAAAGAAATACAAAGTATAAAGAAGACAATTTTGTGGGGGGAGAAATTTTGGATGAAAATCTAAATTGCAATTCCCACAACAATTCTCACCCCCACCCTTACCCTCACCCTTACCCTTACCCTTGGTGTTACCCTTACCCTCGTTTTAGCAACGCCGTTTAGACATGGCATGAACTGGATTGCTTTTTAGGGAAAATCACATCCAGCTGTTATGAATTCCCCCTCCCAGGAAACACATATCCTTTGTGATATGTGTTCCCCTTAACCCGGGAACACACATCACTAGTGATATATGTTCCCCTTCCCAGCAAACACATATCACTATACATGAGCGATATGTGTTCCCCTACCCGGGAAACACATTTCACTAATGATATATGTTCCCGTTCCCAGGAAACACATATCACTAGTGATATATGTTCCCCTGCCGCAGAACACATATCACTAGTGTTATATGTTCTCCTTGCCAGCAAACATATATCCCTAGTGATATATGTTCCTTCTACCAAGGAAACGCATGTCGCTAGTAATATGTGTTCCCCTACCCAGGAAACACATATCACTAATGATATCTATTCCTCTACATAGGAAACATGTATCACTGGTGATATATGTTCACCTTACTAGGAAAAACCCTAACCCTAACCCTAACCCTACCCAGGGCCAGGAAACACATATATCCCTAGTGATATGTGTTCCCCTACGGAGGAACACAAATCACTAGTGGTGTATGTTCCCCTTCCCAGGAAACACATATCACTAGTTATATATGTTCCCCTTTCCAGGAAACACATATCTCTAGTGACATGTGTTCCCCTACCCGGGAAACACAAATCTTTACTGATATGTGTTCCCCGTCCCTGGGAAACACATATCACTAGTGATATGTGTTCCCCAACTCGGGAAACACATATCCCTAGTGATATGTGTAAACCTACCCATATAGACATAACAGTCATATGAATGACCTCTTTGAATTGTACGTTAATGTTTTGTTTTCCTAATTAGAGGTCCTAGCGGAACCTGACCCTTTGTCTTTTCATAAATTATGGGTAGATGCACTTTAATAAGACAAAGTTTGAAAGAAACACTCTTCTCAATCTGGAGTATTATCGCATGACCTGTATTGGGTAAAGAAAACATACAAGCTGAAGTAGTCTATTATAAGCTATAGTTCACTGCATCCAGTAAGCACTTAAATTTGCGGTGTTTTACATTACAGATGCTTATGCTCAGTACAGTAAAGTGGCCACCAAATATGCTGTCAAAGTTCCTGATTCTCTGTCCATGGAGCAAGCTGCCAGCACACTGTGGCAAGGATTTACCGCACATGCATTTGCTTGTTCATCTTATCCAATCAAAGCTGGGGACAAAATTCTAGTTCATGCAGCTGCTGGTGGAGTGGGGAGTCTGATTGTTCAGATTGCAAAGAATGCAGGTAACTAAATAAATTACTAAGGATATAACCCTCCGGGGAATACTTTAGGAATGTTTCGGTAGGGTTTCGCCGCTAGGACCCCAGAACCCTTTGCAACTTGTACCAGTCCTTTTTCGGCTGAATTTTGCTACCGTATATATACTAGACTAAACTCCCAAAATCTCTCCCTATCCTAGTGTCACCTCATTACTCTACATAGTTAGAAGGAATGCTGGCAAAGTTGGAACTTACTATATATTGGAGACAATGTATTGTTGAGGCGTTATTAATCCAGAATGGTGAACCAGGAAACAGTTACGTTTTTGTACCTTCTAGAAATAGTGATAGCATAGTTTGAAAGCTTGTTGCTGGAATGTAGTCAATATCCTTGAATTAATATTTTTCAGGAGCCTTTGTGATTGGAACCACCAGTACAGAGGCCAAAGCAGCAAAGGCAAAGGATTCTGGGGCTGATGAGGTCATCCTTTACTCACAGAAAGATTTTGTTGAAGAGGTCAACAGGATAACTGATGGAAAAGGGGTGAATGCAATCTATGATGGTGTCGGAAAAACAACATTTCTTAAGAGTAAGTTAAAATTGTCTTGATTTTCTCAAGTGTAATTCCGCGCCCCAAACATGGAAGGGAATCGGGAATCCGGATTCCGGATTCCAGAATCCACGTTCCAGCGACAAGGAATCTGGAATCCACACTGTGGAATCAGAATCCAAGAATGACTTGGATTACCTTACAATCAATTCATTTGAGTAGTCAATCAAGTCACCAATCACATTATAAATGTAAGTTGAACAATATTATTGTTCCATAAATTCGTACGGCCTTGAGAAAAAATAATCTCACTGAGTGATCCAGATTTCCAAGATTTGCCTATTTATGTTCCAATTAGCAGTAGTTGATTATGACCAGAACACAATCACTTTTGCAATTGAAGCTACATTCAAATCAGAAACAGTTACGCGGCAGTCCGATCTTTACAACAACCAGGTAAGATTCATCAAATGATCCAACCATTTATGAAGCAATAAGGCAAAGGCCTGGCAACACTAAAAGTAAAAATGAAAAAAATTGTTTGCCTGTACTAAAAATGCCCAAAAAAATTTCCGAAAAGAGAAAATTCACGAGATCTTATCCGCGCATGCGGTCCTCCGAAGAAGTCGCCAAAGTACGAAAAAGCCAGCTACAAGCGGAGCTTCCTGGGTGCATACAGGTCGAAGCAGCTTGAAAGCTGACATTCTGTCCGCGACCGAGTCGCATTTGACATTGACTGATGACCGATTGACTTTTCTATTGTATTTTTTGGCGTTTTAAAAAAAATGGTTAAGCCCGAGGCAGAACCAAGGCGCTTTTTAAAAATGGCAAGCTTTGCAAGTGCTAAAAAAACATAGAAGAAACTATTTAACGCAATTAAACGTGTGAATGACAAAATTTTTCAAAATACGCTTTGAAAAAGGAGAAAAACCAGACTTTTCGAGGGTGCTCCCTCTTCTTTAGTGGTCTTATAGCAATGCTTCCATCTGGTCTTCGTGGCTCAGTCGTTAGAGCAACGGAAGTCGTGGGTCCGATCCCCACCGAGGTCAAATAATTTTTTTCTGCCCCTTGCGTGGTTCCCCGATTCTCGTTTTTAGAGCCAACGCACAAGTTAGCGCTACAAGTTAACTTTTCAGCGTTAAAATTCTCTGTTCCATCCTTTTGCACTCCCTTTAAAGCGGAGCTCTCACGCGCGAAACGCTCCCAGTAGAGCACCATGGGTACGAGAAAAAGGTAACCTATGCTGGATGGGAGAAAAGTTGGTAATCACGTGACCGTTCGTACGTTGGTTCGTACTTCTGTCGGCCCCTACATGATAGCCGATGTCAAATGTCTCATGTATCACTTGCACTTTACTGTCAGTTATGCCATCCATATGAGGATGGTTTGACAAACAGACACAAGTGGTGAAAACGAGTGGCAGCGAAAATAAAAAGCTAACGGGAACACATACGACAGTTCCTCCATAAAACGTGTAACTAGGAAGTTTCACGTTAAAGTCGTGCAAAACAACGGCAAAGGAACGTCGAAAAAAAGAGTACGGCAGGTGCAAAGTTGTTCTTTGCTAATTAGACCTATTGATTTTTTTGCCGTTCTCGTCGCTGTCGTCGTTACACATTACACGATTTTATTTTATTGTTTGAGTAAACTATAAGTATGTTAACGAGAGCTTCGTTTTTAGCCCTGGCTAAATCTATATATTAAGGTCTATCAATGAATCCCACGGCTGTGGCCTTCGCATTTCTTTTAATTCAGATAGACGAGTACGTGGGCAGGCTGCAACGCAGACTAGATCATCTCGCGCTACAAGTTACGCTTTAGCGTTAATTCTCTATTTCATCCTTTAATAGTTGGGGTCTTTATTAGGTCTATCACTGAATCTGTCGCCCTTGCATTTCGTTTTATTCAGACTTTGATTGCTTGGCGCGAAGAGGAACAGTGGTTGTTTACGGTGGAGCTTCGGGCCCTCCCGATCCACTAAACGTCGGCACGTTAGCCAAGGGCTCCTCTTACGTGACCTTTGGGCACTTTCTCCACTTTGTAGAGGACCCCGCAGAATACAAACAGAGAGCTAACGAGCTATTTTCTTGGTTGGCCGAAGGAAAGCTTAAGTTTAGCGGAGGAATCACGGTTGTCCCTCTGGCTGACGCGAAGAAGGCTCATGATATGTTGGAGGGAAGGCACACTACAGGAAAAGTACTTCTCCAGCCGTAATTGCTGGACTATGTTACTTTTAGTAGTCAATTAAGCAGTACTAATGGGTTATCAGAACTAACCCCGCAACTGCTTAACCAAGGATCGATGATTATATGTAGGATATCATCTCATTTCTTCGCTCTTATCTGATTATATCCTCTGCCTTAGACATATCAAAATGTGGTTTAACTTATATTTTAGGAATACACTGTTATTTATGTCATTTTCTTGTACACTGCTTGCTGCTATATATCATGTGTATCTAAGACACCTTAAAATAATTGAATTGCACCGGTGTTTTGGGGGCGAAGCGAAAGCAGAAATTTCGAAGACGCGCGCGCGCACAAGGGGAGAAATGAAGAGGAGTTGTTCCCCTCGCGCTCTTTATAAACGCTTTCCAAAAAAACTAAGCCCTAGTGTTGCACGTTCATAGTCATCAGGCTAATCCCTGTAAATCCCCGATGCACGAGTTACTCGTGTATGTGGGAGAATTTGACAAGATTTATCTATGTCAAGCGAAACTTGTCAAGACTTCTCTCACACTCCAATAGCGTGTTTCAGGCTTTTCCAGGGGAGGGGCCCGAAGGGCAAAAAGAAAAAATTTTGGAGACCGCCCCCTTCCCCCCCCCCTCCCTATCTCACGGTCTTGATCCGCCGCTGTTTCGTACGCTTCTTTACTTGCTCCACCCATCTCCCCGCAGCGATGAACTAGCTCTCTACCGTGAGCTCCCGACTCCTCCTACCTCGGGCTGAGTCTCCCATATCTTATTGGCATTAAAGGCATCTGTTTGCTCACGGTCCCAGTGAGAATCAATTACAATGATAATGTTGAATGTATATCGATCGGCTGTTATGCCCAACGAAACTCTTAGGACTTGCCTTAAAAAATGAAGGTTTATTTTAGGTACAATTAGCCGTTGCCTTCCATTCAGTTTATTGATACGATGGGGTCCGCTAAGCTTAAAAGTTACTTAATATACACGCTGAGGAAAAAAGTGCTTTACTGTGAAACTCACAAAACCGGGAACACCATAAATATTTATGGAATGTTATTGTGTTGCGAGAAATAAGCTAATAAGGCTCGAGATAACTAAACCACAAACAGCAACGGTAACTATTCTGTAGTTTTGAGGTTTACTAGCGTGTCCTGAACTTTAATGTGATTGGCCAGTACACAATCAAAATTCCTGAAATTTTTTAGGTGTTCACGGTTTTCTCAGTTTGACAGTAAATCGGCCAAGAAATTGTCTAATTTTTTTTAAAAATATGCATGGCATGTTGCCTATATCTCTTAAACTATAGAATATTATGAGGTGAAACTTTCACTATTGTATTTCTCTTAAATCATTGTTGCAAATTATTAGTGCTCCGTATGACCAAAAAATCTATTTTGTGATATCATCTGTTGTGACGTCACAAAAATAAAACGTGATAATTCAAATCGGACAAGTTCTTCAATTTCTGCAAAGTATATTGATTTTCTAGAGCCTATTATGATCTATTGTGATTTTTTAATTGGCTACTAGAGAGTCACGTGAGCAGTGACCATAGAAACGTTTAATTCATTAATCCATTATTTCTTGAATCAAGTATTGTTGCTCGTATTAAATTCAGTGAAATGCTTATAAGGGATTAAAGTCCCAAGAATAAAAAAATTCTTGTACCTATCACGCCCCCACAGTCCCCACAGAATTTTTTGACAGTGGGTGGTTAAGAACAAGATATTCTTTTATCTCATTTACATTTTTAATGGATGAAAATCGCAGCTCGCGCCTAAACACCATGAGGTCACTGAAGTAGGCATGTGCTGTGGTTCTGCTATCTCTCTTTAAGCCAATGTCGAACACTGAATGGCCTGAATTCATAAAGTCCTTCGAGTTGCTTGTTACTATCTTACTGACATTCATCTCTCCGTTCATGAAAAGCCTCACGGTACCTTGTGTACGTCCCCAAGTCATTGCCACGTGAGTCCACTTGTTAACTACAACAGCATCTCTGCAAAGTATGAGTGGGGATTGTTGAGTGGCATAAACGTTTTTAGCTCATTTCCCATCTCGATTTATTCGACTATGAGTGAATTTGTCAACTGATTTGAATAAATCAAAATGGCGTATCCAAGATGGCGAACTTTTCAACAAAACATCACTTCTATCGAAACCACACTTCAAGGTCTTTAACGTGCTGTTGTTTACGTTGGCCGTTGAAATCCGTACTTGTTTGAAATATTCATTGAGTATGGGAAGCCAATAAATTAAAATCAACAACGGTTTGTCGACGTCAATTTACTTCAGATCAAAAGTGACACTTGTTTATAAGCTATTCATCCAGATGGATGAGATGACTTTTCCTTTCATGGGACGAATGACTATCGACATTCATAAAAATACTAAGAAAATGTGAAGATACCTACCTTGTACAAAACCTAAAAATCTCTTTTCCAGCTGTATTTCTCGCCTGGGCACAAAAGTGACTGCTCGGGTCAATAAACAATCGAAATGACCAAGGATAAGACCAGTCGCCATAAACTGCATATTGTGCACCCGAGCTCTTCATTTTGATCCATACGGCGATTGTTAGGCTTGTGCGATGGATGGGAAGAGACGGAGTCTCCGCGAACGCCCCACTACTTCCGTCTAAATACAAAGCTGTTCTTCCATCTTGCTTCTCGTATCTTGCAGATCCCTTTAAGCTGTAAAATGGCATAAATGTATAATCCGAAATGAAAACTTTCTTGGTGGCACTTTCCCTAAACGTACGAATGGGGTCAAGCGAAGAAATCTGGCCACTTGGAGGGTTCGTCACAGTTGGATCCCCACCCCGACAAAATACTCGTCTTTCCTAAGGTGTTAAGAATGTCTTGAGTGCATCGAGAATTTTGGGCCAAAATAAAGAAATTAATGGCGCGGAAATTAACGTTTACTTTAACGTGACTTAAATTAACGCGAATTTTTTTCATGATCATGCGTAGGATGAATTTCCTATAAAAACGTAGTCCCGAACCCAGCACCGATTACTGCCATCCCACAAAGAGCTGCATTGTGTTTGTAGCAGAACACACAAGGAAAAACTACGCAGTTTGGTTCACTATTTCATTAATGTTCTTACCTGACTTGACCGTCAATACCGTTGAGCCGCCAGAAAGAAAGGAGACCTGAAAGGAATTATCTCGCAGTTTCAACGGACGGTGGTTAAAGGCTTTAAATCCCGCAAAAAAAGAAACGCAAGTATGAAATAAATTAAAAAAGATAAAAGGAATGAAATATTAGAAAGGGGTTATTGATGTCTCTTAAACTATGTAGCAAGTCAAAGATCAGAGAGAAATAGGCATGTTAAGAAACGACACCTCATCGTAGAATAACACTGAAAAATTACAAACAATTTTAAAAGACTGAAGCCAAACGTCGAACTTTTCATGAGACGAACCAAATTCTAATTTGGGTTAACCTAAACTAAGTTAAGATCGTTTGTTGGGTCAGACGTCGAACTTAGGACGCTTCGAACTAATCTGAATCAGATTGGCAATAGACGTTCTCCCAGACGAGGCTAAATAAACATTATTATACAAATTTTCAATGTATTAGTTCAGTTCGTCGCATGTTAAGATCGACATTTGTCCCGGAGACGATCTTCACAGGGGCACCCAGCGACTTTTTCTCTACAATAACTGTTCGAAGGAGCAAATGTTGCCTAGAAATTTCTAAAGCTTGAGAAGAGCTAAAAATGTCTGGATAACCATTCAATTCGTCTCAAATATTCGGAGGTTTTCTGATAGCTTAACTACGATTTTCGGAGGTTGTGTTATTCACATTTTAATACCAAGATATTGCGATTATTATTTTAAAAAGGTCTCCTAAAACTTTCGGTATAAAAACAAAACGTTCCCTATAATTTTCTAATGAAAGCAAGGCTACTTCATGTCCTCAAACTTTCGACCAGACTCATAAGGGTAGCGAACACTTTCGGATGAGACGAAAAAGCCACGTAAAACTTTTGTGACGACCAAAGTTCCCTTAAAACATCCGAACAGATAAAAAGTTTTTGGGGCAACTCCAAATTAACCAAACAGTCTTCTAAAGCATAGAGCAAACCATCTGAGACACTTCTGACGTATTTGAAAACATTCCGTTATTAAGTGCCCCTGTCTACAGACGTTAATTCTGTCCGTCTGAAGCAGGCCGATAGAACGTGTTGGACGATCCAAACCCGTTCAGACGAACGTAACTGAGCCAGACGTCGAACTTTTCATGAACTTAACTTACTAAGTTTGGTTCATCTCATGAAAAGTTCGACGTTGGCCTAGGCCTAAGTCACTTCTGATCAGTTACTTCTGGGCTCTTATAAGTACTTACAAGGCGTGTGTTCTTTAGTAGTAATTCATGTAAACCATGTAACAATAACTAGCTCACTAGAGTAAATACTAAGAGTTAATGCGTCTGCTCGCAAAAGAGGATCCATCTGAATGGGGGTATACCTCGATAACATTAAACACTTCATTTTTCAATTGGCTTTGTAACACGAAACACTTAAATTTTAGGCATTTTAACACTAAAAGTAAAAAATTCTTTAAAACAGTATATTTTTTTCCAGATGGAAGCAAAAACGGCTCTAAAAAGGCCAATATTATTTTGTTTAGTATATCAAGGAGTTTTCGGCCATTTTACGACAATTCCGGATTATTTCAGAAGATTTCCGAAGCTACCGACGATTCCCGAAGAGTGTCAAAGATTTCCGAAGTCTAACGAAGAGGTCCGACCATTGCCGAAGATGTCCGAAGAATCCTCCAAACACTATGACGAAAAGTATTTTCTTCGGAAACAGTAAACATTAAAAAAATTGGCCAATTTAACAGCAAACACTAAAAATTAAGGGCAAATAACACTAAACATTAAACCCCATTCAGACCCTCGTAAAATGCTTTACGATCGATGAAATTATGAAGTGAATCGTAAGCATTTGCAATTGCTATATCGTTTGAGAATCGGATATCTGTTTAATGACGTCCGGCAGTAGGGCTGTTAAGGATATTACGGCCCGCAGAGGGTAGCTACCTTCTCTTGCTACCTATTTTTGTCTTGAAGGCGTCTGACAACTCGATTTGTTGGGAAGTTTTTTGGAAGTTTGGAAGTTTGTTTCGCTGTTTTACCAGTTCCCAGTCCCCGCCGCGTAGCACCCAATCCAGAACAGTACAATGGCGGCCAATTCTGTGAGTATACCAGGCACGATTTAGGGACAGGTTTTCAGCGTAAGCTTTCGTGTAAGCGGCTTACAGGGCTTACAAGCTTTCAGGTTGTAAATTAAAATAAGAGACTGAAATTTTCTCTCATGTGATTTTCTGAAACGCAGCATGTAAGCTTAAGTTACTCATTTGCTTGTCATGTCAGTTGTAAAGTTAAGTATTTTGGAAAGGTAGCGAACGTTTAAGTGAGGATTCGAGGGGAAGACATTGTTCTTTCATGTGTTTCGCAGCACTTTCTGTCCATGAGCCCAGCCAGTTATTAGCTGTGCTGATCGTTACCGGATCACGAACACAATCGATGAGACAATTTAGCACCGCCACGAGAACACAATTAGTTTCAAAGCTCCCTAAACAATCAACTCAGCAGAATCATTTTTAGCAGATAACCTTCCTGTTGTAGTTCACTACTTTTTCTAACGAGGTGAATGAGGCAACGAGGCGAACAAACTGAATTACAATTGAGGTCATAATTTGCCCCAGCAAAGAGGCAAAGGAAACGAACGATTTGCTTACCGAGGTAAGCAAACTGAATTGAGGTTTTCCTTGTCATTTAAAATACTTATTTTTATTGATGTCATGAAGTAAAAGAATGAATACAACAGAAACGGATACATACAATTCAGTGACAATTCGCTAAATCGAAGATGCTTTCTGGAAGTTTTTTTTGTTGTTGTTGTGTATTTGAGTATGCATTTTATTTATCAGAGATCTGATCCGTTTAAATCACGAAAATGTGAAGGAGGGGATTGCCCAGTGTGTAGAGAAGATGGAAAAGGAACGTGTGATAGACAGAGCGTGACTTACAACATAAAATTTGCTGAGTGTATATCGGAGAAACATCAAGGAGCGCGTACACTAGAGGATAAGAACACATAAAGTCACTGCCCAAAAAGGAAGAAAGATCAGCCTTATGGAAGCACTGTAAAGAGAAACACAACAGTGAAATGCAGAAATTTGAAATGAACGTTGCCGGTTCTTACTCCAACGACGCCATGTTGAGGCAGATATCGGAAGGTCCTCGGATAGATCAAGTACCGGAAGGCTCGTTGATGAACTCTAAAAACGAATGGAATTATTTCCGCGTTCCACGCGCGGTAGTCGCACGTGACCACGTGAAATAGAATACACCATGTTGGCGTACATGACACTGGCGAACACGCAGACTATTTTAGTGCATCTCACATGAAATAAAAAATTATTGACTGACGCAGGCTTGAAGAGCGAAATATATTTCGTGGATTTTAAAACATTTTTATTTTTACAATTTACATTTCTTATACGTGCGTCGAATGTGGTATAGACGTGATATCTTATTTTGCAAGTAGTTCAAGTTGAATTATAATCACACATCAAGATAAAGCTTAAGTTAATAACAAGCTTAAAAATACAATATAACTCAACTTCAAATTCGTGCATTTTGTAATTTATACATCACAGTCTCTCTTTTGTCTCGTCACGAAATTCTCCTAGCTTTGCGTGACGAGACAAAAATCTAAGACCTTGAAGACCATCTGATATCCTAAACCGAGATACAATAGATTATTTACTACCGTTCCAACCCCTTGATCTTTCTACATTGGGCCGCACTTCACTTCCAGTATGGAACCCTTAATCAATAGTTCTTAGATTCAGTACTTAACGTACAGTGGATCAACCTACCATTAAACAAGTCCCACTGGCCAGATGTGGATTCATCTTTGCCTGCGATAAAAAAGAGTTTATTTAAAATTACCACAATTTATTTGATTTATTCACTATATTTGGTTCTCAAATATTTCTTTACAAAAGGCCGCTTTTAACTTTACTGAATTCATGTAAGATGGAGAAGTTTCCCCCTTTAAAAGATTAAAGTTTAAAGGCTTTTCCCCATTTTAAAGATTCCTCGTTTTCGTAAAGATTCCCCATTTGAAAGATTCACGCTTTATATATTCCCCATTCCTTGATCCCCCGTTCCAACGGAATATTCGGTGTGAAATATGAAGGAGAAACGTACACAGGGTAGTCAAACGTGATGGAATTTTAGAGAACGTAAAAAATAGTTAGTTTAAGCTGAGTGGGAAGTGGTCCATGTCTGCTAGTCGGGCAGGTTATTTTTGCTTTGCTTCTCTGGATCATGTTACTAAAGAGGATCGTTATTAAAACAAAATAGCCTTTCAGAATCACGACCGAGAGAGAGCTGCCTAGACGGATCTGTTTACTTTTGCTGTGAAAAACATCCTTGACATAAAACGGGTAGGGCATATTTTAGGATATTTAATTTCGACACTAAATTTCCACCTACTCCACTTAGTTTATGGGAGTTGGAAGTAGCCAACGACTTGAGGAAGCCTTCTGCAAACCGTTTAGTTCTCACAATTTACAAACTACAATTTTGGTAAGTTTTCTCCTTTTGGACCCGAATAAAAAAAAACCTTAAGAATTCAACTCCAGGAAAAGTCGCCTGCATTTGACATATTAGGGCCATTTATACGAGGAAAAATAAGACGTGTCTTAAGGTGACTCGACCCAGTTTTTTTTGGGGGGTACCATCCTACTTTGAAGCTCTCTGGTATCCCCACCTTTACTTTTATCGTAAGTCTAACACATAGAATGGATAACATATAGATCAATCTACAATATAACATAAAATTTTTGGCGATCGGAGTAAATGTCACGTGGTTATAATGCCACGCCCCTTTGAGGTCTGAGTCGAAAATCTGCTGTTGCCGGCATTTTTTCGTGAAAATCTCTCGGCTACACATAGTGCGCATTAGTGCCTTGCGCTGAACAGAGTTTCACCAAAATCGCAAAGACCCAATTCGAGAAATTCAGCGGTTTCCAAATTTAGGTCATAATTTATGCGAAAATGATAAGCAAACTTTACACGGATTATATCTAATAAACTATGAGATTCATCTCTTTATTTTGGGCATCGTTATAACAGATGGGTCCTTGCAAGTCAGCAAAACGCTTTAGGGCCTTGTAAATGCGCGCGATTTCGAGCAAAGCAAACATATAGAAATTATAGTTTTCGCTATTTGTTGACGTTTGTCAGCGTTTAAGAGTCCTTCTCACGAAAAAAGCATTTTCTTAAAAATTCGTAGTTTTTTTTCCTTCAAATTTTTTCAGGGCCACAATTGATTAACTAACTACCCGGACTCTGAATTTCATGGTCATTGAAAAACTGCGACATTATCTTCTATAAGCCCAAACTTGAGTAAACATTGAAGATTTTTAGCGTTTTGGCTGAGTTTGTGCTTTGGGAGTTGTCTATTGTTTCTAGTCTGTCATGATACAGCATTCTTGTTCAGCACGCGTGCAATGACCGCGCTTGGCTGACTTTCCGTATAAACGGCACATTTCGTCTAAAATAAGACGCGGCTTAGCTAAGACGCGTCTTATTAGATAAGACATGCTCGTATAAATGGTACAGTTCGCGTCTTATTTAAGACGCGTCTTATGTAAGAAGCGTATTATTTTTCCTCGTATAAATGGCCCTAGAGTTAACTTTGGAATGCAGGAAAGTAGATCTTCTTAAAGGGTATTCGGTAGTATTCGTTACTGGCAACATGCTTTGTAAAGATGAATTTACTTTCTTTAACGAGTAGCTTGAATTCGTTTCGAATGGACGGTCTGAAAAAAATGACGTTGAACATTATTTAGTGAATCAGGTAAAGGCAAATTAGCATCCTGGAAAGCCAATCATTGCATAATACTGGTCCGTTGTTCATTCTTATCAATGAATTTTGCAAAGAGGTAACTGATAGGAAATGATCTTTAGATCTATCTACCTCTCAAAGACAGTGCTGTCACTGTATTCATCTAGCTCTAGATTAAAGAAGTTTTCCTATCCTGTAGTCTGGAACTGCGTTGAGACGATTAAACTAATTTTTCTTCAGTCTTGGTTTCCCCTGCTTAATGGCGCTGCCTAAGCGTTGACTGCACAAAAAACGGCGCGTAGAAGACTACAGGTTTCCCAAAACAATTTCACAAATCACGGATTGAGAGAGGTAAATCCCTGGGTAAATCATCAATTATTAAGAACGTTATTGTTGTCTTACCAAGTCGGCTTAACAGCTCGTCTAATCGTTGAAGCAGTACCTCTTTCAACTGCTTAACTTCTTTCTTTAGGGAGGTGATTTCATTGGCAGCAGCACCCGAGGTACAAATCTGCTGTACTACGATTTTGCCGTCGGACAAGGTGACATTGTCCACTGAAACGTTCTTTGCTCCAGTCTGGGACCTAGTGGCAGCTGCATACAGGCAGGCGCTGAGAAAAAACACAAAGGTTGTCTTCATATCCACAGCAAATTCTTTTCTTAATGCCTGTTCACTTTAGAGTAGAGACTTAGATCCTTGACTGCCTTAAAGTAATGAAGTTGATCTCCGAAACAACTTGTATCTATACCGTTAAACCTTGTGACGTCATCTATTTTTTTTGCCAGGGGTTTGGTTTCGTGAAAGAGGATGTTTTTCTAGGACAGGGAGCGGCACGCGTCTGTCTGAAAGTCGGCGAAGGACAGTACAAACACATAAAATAAAGTAATCACTAGAAACACGTGTATCGCAGAACCTCGTGAAGCTGCGGACGGGTATTTTAAATGATGGATGGAGTCCATTGGTAAATTAAAATATTAATTTTGTAGATGTCCAAGCTACATTATTGGCGGTCAGAATTTTGACACTTGTCTAGGCACAGATGGCCCAAACTCGACTTATATGACCATCGGCATTGTGTAACCTTCGAATTCTAAGGATATGTATGGGGGAAATTCGATTGTTTTTGTAAGCTACGAATTAGAAAGGATTTAGATAAAATCGGCTAACCTTAATGAACCTCACTTGGGTTTCTTCATTCCTGTATGGTTCCCGGAGCCACAGCAAATTACTTCAGGGAATCAAATTCCATTTAGGATCCTTATACAAGCACTTAAAAACTTCTGAGTTATTTTTCCTTACTGTTATCCGTTTTGGTGATCATGGAAATTATAATAATGGTGATCATGGAAATTGTAATAATGTTAACATGAATAAAAACTTCAAATTCAGGTCTCAAGCTAATTTCTCTCCTCAAGGCTTTTGGAAGGAGACAAACAGAGACTATTCGAGGACAAAGAGGCTTGAAGCTGGGAGTTGGAAGTTGTAATTAGTTGGAAGTTAAAAGTAGAGAGTTGGAAGGCGGAGGGCGGAAGACGAAAATTGGAAGCTCTTCCACGGCTTTCGGTTTGGCCAACCACAAGGCAGANTTTAAATGATGGATGGAGTCCATTGGTAAATTAAAATATTAATTTTGTAGATGTCCAAGCTACATTATTGGCGGTCAGAATTTTGACACTTGTCTAGGCACAGATGGCCCAAACTCGACTTATATGACCATCGGCATTGTGTAACCTTCGAATTCTAAGGATATGTATGGGGGAAATTCGATTGTTTTTGTAAGCTACGAATTAGAAAGGATTTAGATAAAATCGGCTAACCTTAATGAACCTCACTTGGGTTTCTTCATTCCTGTATGGTTCCCGGAGCCACAGCAAATTACTTCAGGGAATCAAATTCCATTTAGGATCCTTATACAAGCACTTAAAAACTTCTGAGTTATTTTTCCTTACTGTTATCCGTTTTGGTGATCATGGAAATTATAATAATGGTGATCATGGAAATTGTAATAATGTTAACATGAATAAAAACTTCAAATTCAGGTCTCAAGCTAATTTCTCTCCTCAAGGCTTTTGGAAGGAGACAAACAGAGACTATTCGAGGACAAAGAGGCTTGAAGCTGGGAGTTGGAAGTTGTAATTAGTTGGAAGTTAAAAGTAGAGAGTTGGAAGGCGGAGGGCGGAAGACGAAAATTGGAAGCTCTTCCACGGCTTTCGGTTTGGCCAACCACAAGGCAGAGCAGCACAAAAATTATGTAATTTATAATGACCCCACTTTTCAGACATGCAGATATCAAATGGGAAAAAAGCCCCCCCCTATAATGTAATCCTATACTTTTTTTCCTTGGGAATACAAACAATATTTTACATTCCGGAGCGACCCCGCATTCAAGTACACCTGACTCATGATGTTGATATCTATTTCTGACTGCCAAAAATCTCTTCAGGTTGATATCAGAATGACAAAGTCCTTCAACTCACCATTACCGCCTCCATTTTCGGCACATACAGGTTCTCAATAGCATCACATTTTCTCACTTGCAGATCACTTTCCAGCCAGCTGCAATTTGCATTTCCCCCGTGATCTTGGGGAGGCCAAGAGCAAATGCTCATCTTCTCGTCAAGTTTAAAAACGCCTGGACGATCCAGTCCCCAAGTTAATCATCGTACTAATCTGCATGATCGGCTCCTGCGTGTCTTAAATTAATAAGGTGGTTGTTTATATACCATTTACCAAAATGTTCCGAAAAATGCGGTTGGAAAGTAAATGCCGGATCACGACTTTTTGGGTAGTTCCATCGAAAAATTTCCGGCAGCAACGGAACATCTGGGGTGCTTACCATTTGACAGAAAATTTCGGTAATCCCGGATGGAAGGTAAATGGTAAGGTCACTTTCCCGGGGGGAGACTCCGCATACGAAAGGGGTGGGGATGCTAGTCGGAAATTTTGAATTAAACCCCTAAAGGAGACCGATCTGGGCGTTTTTTTTTTACCCATAAAAGAGACCATGTTAAAACACAGACAATATATATTTTTTTATATTTTTCGCGTGCAACCTTAAACGAGACCTTCACGGCTACATATTATGGCGTTTTGCCTAGAACACCCCTAAGCGAGACGACGAGCATCCCCACCCTTTTCATAGGATAAAAACTGTCCAGAACAATTCTTATGCATAAAACTGGCGTGAAACTACTTATTTTTTAGTTGAAGTAATAAACAGTTAACGACAATTAAGGGAACAGCTTGGTCACGTGGTACAAATTCACGTTTGGTGTAAACGTGAATCTTAATCTCTCTATTAGCAAAATGGAGTCGCGGTTCAGCATGCAGTTTATTTTCGGCGATCATTTTGATGACGTGTCGGCATTTTGGCAACGATGTAACTTCCCCAGGCTCTTGATTTTTGTGTATTCATACACGCCTAACCGCGTACATTGAATTCGATCGTCGATAAAGACTAATGGTGCAAGACTAAAAGTGGGGCATGCAAGACTGAGTGAGGAAATCCTATTTCGTGTAAAAGGCCACGTTTTCGTGAAAGCGTTTGAAAGAGAGTGAATATTGAGACGACTTTCTCTGAATTGATGTAGCAATTCCTGAAACTCTACGGTAAAATAAATTCGCTGATTTACTGCCGGATTAACTTGGTTCAGTATGTATGTAATTGCCAACGAGGCAACCGAGCTAAGAAGCGAGGTTGCCTCGGCGGCAGGTTCATAATCCCGCGCATTGTAGGCAAAAACTCTCAAATTCTGCGTAACCCTCTAAAATTTGCCTTATTTGACCACATTTGGGTTTAAGTAAGATCCTGTATTGGGGCAGTGATGTCATGATCTGGTATTTACAACTCGTGATTCGAAATTGGGTGATGCCGTGTGCAGCTGTTTTTTCAGTTTTCTGATCAAGAGGCCCTAACAGGTGAGCGATTTCTAGTTTGAAAGGGCTATTAGTGCTTTTGTGGGTCGGCTTTATAAATTGCGTTTAAAGCAGCAGCTGATCAAGAAATAGGGTTTTACGTTCCAATTATTGTCAGAACCACTGAGCTTGTTCTTCGCAGCTCGATTTACATTAAGCAGCGTGTTCGCTTCTCGACTCAGAACCAGGGTTTTCAGTGTGATCTTTTCCTCTCTTAATTGAATTTTATGCGTTAGCTAATCAAGGAGAAGGGTTGTATTCTCAAAACGTTTTTCAGAACCAGCGTGTTCTTCGCAGTTCGATTTACACTGAGCCGGTCCTCACCTCCCGTGAGGAATGTAACGCATTTAAGGTGGTTCGATTCAGTTTTTCAGGGTCAATATCTCCCAAATTTGAGCATAAACTACGTCGCCATAAATAAAGATTTGGAAAAATTGCCATCACAGTTGTATCAGATAAAGATGAAAATTTGTTATGATCAAGGTTGCAATGACATCGGAGTTGTCATAGCAACGAAATGAGGTTATTACCTATTTTACTTGCAGCAGTATTTCTCGGCACTGGGAACTGCTCTTCCAGAATCGTTTACCGGAGCTTTTTCCTCCAATAGCCGCCTCGATATTCGTGCAGTTTAAGCGAAATCTGTATATGCAAGAGCGTTATCGTGATATTTTGGGATAAAGTTCTTATGGTTAGAAATATCGATTTATCCAGTGGAGAGTACTATCCATCTTTTGAACAACTGGGGCCAAGAGTACTTCTCTGTTCTATCCTTTAATAGTCCCTTTATAAGGTCTATCACTGAATCTGTCACCCTTGCATTTCGTTTTATTCAGACTTTGATTGCTTGGCGCGAAGAGGAACAGTGGTTGTTTACGGTGGAGCTTCGGGCCCTCCCGATCCACTAAACGTCGGCATGTTAGCCAAGGGCTCCTCTTACGTGACCTTTGGGCACTTTCTCCACTTTGTAGAGGACCCCGCAGAATACAAACAGAGAGCTAACGAGCTATTTTCTTGGTTGGCCGAAGGAAAGCTTAAGTTTAACGGAGGAATCACGGTTGTCCCTCTGGCTGACGCGAAGAAGGCTCATGATATGTTGGAGGGAAGGCACACTACAGGAAAAGTACTTCTCCAGCCGTAATTGCTGGACTATGTTACTTTTAGTAGTCAATTAAGCAGTACTAATGGGTTATCAGAACTAACCTCGCAACTGCTTAACCAAGGATCGATGATTATATGTAGGATATCATCTCATTTCTTAGCTCTTATCTGATT